CCTGGTTAACATTATGGAGGCCTGACTTTTTGAATCTGGAGATCCCCAGCCTCCAGTCCGCCAACTACACCTAGCCCCTGGAGGCATGTCATCCAGCCTGCAGGGCTCCCCACAGATCCAAAAATATAGTGGTGATGAAGCAGTAGCAACATTAATCACCACTCCCCTGCTGCCAAAATTTCCCAAATTATGGGAAGCCCTGTGGGGTAGAGAGTGTGGCCTTGCAAACTAGACCAGGCATGCAGGGTGGTGCACACCCAACTGGGGTGTGCAGGGCCAGGGGGCCCGCATTGGGCCTGATCTGGTCACGTAGGGCCAAGCAAGGGCAGCACAGGGCCTGATCCTGCCAGGCAGGGCCGGAACTGGACCATGGGCCAACTGTATGCCACTCATCTGGCCCACGGGGCGAAACAGTTGAGCACCGCTGAGCTACACAGTTTGAAAACTACTAAAAATAAATTCATTCTTTTACATGTTTAGTTTCCTTTGATTTCTTTGAGTGGCCTTGTTGGAACTTGTATCTTCTGTCTCAGACCACAAGGACCCAGTCTTCTTTCTCCAAACCAATCATTACTTTCTCTACTTATGTCCTACTGCCTCCAGTTCATCTCCTTTTTAAAATAAATATTTCAGTCATTTTAATCTCACACTGTGACAGCTTTTCCAGGTCTTTCATTGGAAGGTAAATACTAAAGGGACATGGGGGCATGAAGTGTGGGGAGGAGGGAGAGGAAGGGAAAGGAGTATTTCATACTTACAGTAAAATCCTTTGCTTTATGCTTTAGTCGTCTCCTCTCCCTTGCAGAAGACTGGGGTTGTGAAAATAGATAACCTTCTTCTAAAGCAGGAAATGTTTCCCCATTAGTATCTGGAAAAGTGAAAGAGAACAAATCTTTAGACAAAATTGCCAATTTACCTCATAGAATTGATCTGATGGCATTTAGTTTTTAAACAAACAGTGCTAATATAATATACAACACTCGACTCAGACATGCTAACGAAAGAAACCTCTCTCATCAAGAGGTATTTTTCTTTTGTAGAAGAAAAGCTCCTAAGGGACTCTGGAACGCTATAAGATGTTAGAAGCCAAACTAGCCCCTGGATCAGATACAGAGCTTAACCACGTAAGAAAACTGCAAGCTCCGCCCACATTAACCCCTCCCCACACACCCCATATGCGACTGCATCACCTTATCGCCAGGGATCCTGGTTTCCTCCGATAAAAAATCCCCAATTTTCAGATTAAAAGGAGTAACACAAAATCCACAGTTTTCTCTGAGTAAAATGAAACACCACTAATATATTGTGGTATTTCATTTTGATCATGGAAAAATGTGGATTTTGGGTTACTATTTTAATCTGAAAATTGGGGATTTTTTTTAATCAAAGAAAACTAGGATCACTGCTCATCACCGAGTCCCCCCTTCCCTCTGTTTTGTAGTGTTAAATGGACCCTAAATATTTCAGGTGGATCCCATCAGTCTGCTCCTTTAAATATTTTCAGTGTTTCCTTTGCTGGGGAACTGGCATCATAATTCATAGAGGAAGTAGCCTACAGAGAGTAGCAGCTTTGAAATGCATGTGAAATGGTCCAGGTCTGACCACCTCAGGCTGCTGGATTGCTCCTTAGGGTCAGTGTGTCCATTGTCCTTTGTGCAGACAGCAGGCGCAGCTCCTCTTCCACTGTACCTAAAACTGTGCTTCCAGCACACTTGACTTTTTCAATGACAGTCAGTCGTGCCAACCTCCCCCCTCACAGCCTTACTACAAAAAGAACAAATTCTATTGTTATGTTTTATTTGTTGTGAAGATGAAGAAACTGAGGAACATTTCAAAAGTAAAAAATAGTTTGGAGGTTTAAAAAAAATCCCAAAACATTTCATTTGGACTCTGTCAATATTTTTTGCTTTGTTCCTTTTTACTGATAGAAGCAGCTTTATGAATTTGCAACTTGTTCCGTGTCACCCAATGCATTTTTTTTGGTTGCACACACATACCTGCCCACCCACCCACTCCCAGCCCCCTCCAGCTCTACTGGGAGCCTCTTTCTTCAGTTTGGAACCTACTTTTCAAATAGCATGCAAAAAAGTTAAAACATACAAATGGTTGATATTTTTCATTACTAATCCATTCTGAAAGAGCAAATTAGCTAGACACCATAAGCTTAAATATATGAGAGCCATAAAGATAATGGCATTTGTTAAGTCAGCCTAAAGGACTCCAGTATGCCTGCTAAATGTATAAAGCAATGCCATTACATACTGAGTTTCTGAAATAGTTGCATATAATCATGTTCATTTATCATAATACGAGTAGAAGTGGTACCAAGGACAAACATATTTACTTCATGTCTGCAGTTTTCCACCAGTATAAAATAATTCATCACAAGCTATTAAACATATTTTGTTCTGAAATTTATTTCAGAATACTTTCAAAGTACAGGACTAACATTAATTTTTAGAGTTAAGGCTCAAGCAAGACACGTAGCACAATGAAAAGTCCCTTTTCCAATATCTGTTTTTCCTGAATTTCACTGAGGATTAATACTATAAGTATATAAGGGGATGTATCAGGATCTGGGAGAACACTTGTTCACCAGGGCTCCCCAAGGTCTAATGGCCAAAAACTTCTAGAAAGCCGATTCAGACTCAATAAAAGGAAAAACTTCTTTACAGTCCAAGTGTCCAAGGTCTGAAACAGCCCCCTCCTCCCCCCCCCCCC